CCTAAGTCCTATATTGGAAGACCCTAAATTATCGCTTAATCATTAAATTACAGTTTTATTAGCTGCATCTTGGCTCTATTTTTCATACAGAATAAGATTAGAAAAAATGGAGATGAGATTTAGATTTGAATGGCAATGCGTTATTTGGTGCTTCATCTAATTCGTGGCAATAGCTACAATAACAGCGCTACATCATTATTATTCATGGCGTTCGGACGCTAGCATATATCCTAGAATGGACCAGCTAGCATAGGCGCGCTAACTTATGAATTCTGATTATAAAATGTTGAAGTAAGGCCATTGTTCGAACTTTTCAGTAGTTACACAAAACTTATATGTATATGCTTATACATATACATATATTGTGACGGTAGAACCGTCACTGTACATAGGACAAAATATATATATACGCATGGCCCGCTTATTTCACCCCGTTCTATCCATCCCGTTGTCTCACTCTCCGCAAGCGCTATCTCTCTCGTGGTGCCCCCACGCGGTACCACCGCCGGACCGACGTCGTACAGTGGGGGACGCCGGCCGGGTATATAAGACCGCTCGGCCGAGGCATCGAGACCAGATCCCATGCCGAGATCTTATCACCGACACTGACCTGCTAACCACTATCCGCTACCTCTTGGGGCTAAGGTTTTTCTTAGCTCCGCCGGGATTCACCGGCTCTCTGCCACCTTCAAGGGCTGACGTTTCGCCCTGCTCCGCCGGGATGTGCCGGTTTTCCGTTGTCAAGGCAGCGTCCGACGTGACACTCAGCCCTGCCCGCAATACCTGGCCACCCAGCCTGACGCTAGTTCGTAAGCCGACTGTAAATACCGCGCCGTAGAAATAAGTCTACGCGCCGTAGCCAGTAAGTCGTAGGAAGTAAGCAAGTAGTAACCACGCTCGTAGTATACGCATCGTAGGCAGTAAGTCGTAGTCAGTAAGCTGGTAGTAAGCACATTCGCAGTATACGCGCCGTAACCAGTAAGTCGTAGTCAGTCAGCTAGTAGTAAGCACGCTTGTAGTATACGCGCCGTAGCAAGTAAGTCTTTGGTAAGCTTTGAGTTATTTTATATCTTAAGCTGACATATTTTGATATAAAAAATAAAATATCTTGTAAAATATTTAGTTTTTGATAATCTTACCGTAATGTTCTTATGTACAGAATAATGAGACAAATCAATTAGTATAAAAAAATAATTGTTTTTAAGAAAAAGTATGTAATTATTTACAATGTATTTTTTTAAACAATTATTTGTTTTTTTACACTAATTGATTTGTTTCATAATCCTGTACATAAAAGTATTACGGTAAGATTATCGAAAACTAAATATTTTACGAGATATTTTATTTTTTTATATCAAAATATGTGTCAGACTAAAATATAAAATAACTCAAGAAGTACTTAATGAAAAAATACTATATTATAGTGTTTTGAAAAGCTCTCGAGATAAGCTACAAGAATATGCAATAAAAAATAGGGGATTCCGATAAAAAAAATAAAGTTGAACTCCATATAACCTTGGCACGTTCACTCAAGGTCAAACCAATGACATCATCTTATATCCCCTTTCGAACCAAATAACTTTTTTGAAACGTTTTCCCATATCTTTCATATTTTTCGAGATATTTGCCTGGGGCGATTAAAAAGAAACACCCTATATATACATTGATTTTGCAGGTAGCACTAATAGATCCATTTTTGGGTGGAATTGTACAATTAAGTGGATTTTTGAAGCAAGCAATGGAGACATGCGACTATCCAAACACAGATCAGCCATTCATGTGTTTAGATTTAACATTTATTTATATTTTGCTCAGAGACGGATTTGGCTTGGAACCAACAACTAAATTATATGTAGGTATAATAGAACTTTTTCTCATATTATGTTATCATTTTAATAATTTAAGAATATTTTGAAAGATAATAAAATATTTTTAACTCTTGCAGCTTTACAAGAAGATCAATGGCCATGAATTAAGTTGGGCGTTAGGAGCTGCATTTAATGCTCTCCAAAATGGGCTTTGATTTATGTTTTATTTGTATTGTTGGATGAATTTTATTCCACATTTATACAAAAGACAAGATGGAAGAGGAACTGCATGGAAGAGGAACATGCACTTAAGGAAAAATAATATACAAAAGCAGTTAATATGATGTAAAAATTTTGGATTTGACAAAATGTTTCAATTATTGACTGATATTTGTATAATTTGATATTTGTTCAATGAAATCTGTACAAATGCCTAACATAATTGTATAATCTATCTTGATGTTACTCCTATGATATAAAAAAAATAGTATCTAATATATATTTTTAGGTATATATATATATATAGAGTGTCGCAGAACTAACGCACAACCTGCTAATGG